TTTAGTATAAGCACATGGAAAGTAAATGAGTGAAAATAAATTAAATTAACCAAGAGCATGGTGTGAGAGTTGTGTTTCATGTCATTCCAGCTACTTAGGATGTTTTTAGTTGATATGTTTTCAGTCCCCGACCAGACTTAAATAGATGAGATCAAACCAACTTTTATAGTTATAAAATACTTAGAGAACATACATTTACTTTAGTTATAAAAATACTCAGAGAACAGACATTTACTATTTTACAAATAACTTTATTTGTAACTTATTTTGGGGATAAATTAAGCATATAAAGAATGACATGGAAAACCTGGACTGAAGTTCTTATGAGCAGCATCAATGTATATATTCCTTTATTTTTTAAAAAGAAACTTGATATTGATGAACAAAAAACGAAAATACAGAACAAAAAGAAAAGAGGTTGCCTATGAAAAAATTAAGTAAGCATATATAAGATGGCATGGAAAACCTGGACAGACTTCTATTTATAATGTCATTGCATTTATCCTAATGGTTGTGATTGTAGTTTAGTATAAGCACATGGAAAGTAAATGAGTGAAAATAAATTAAATTTGAGGTAGTAGATAAGACCATGATTGAGAAAGCCCAGGATAATCACCTGACAACAGTTTACAATCTAAAGTATTTTTATAGCTAGGGAAGTATTACATATTATTTTTGTAGCTTAATTGAGTGATCATTATATGCAAGACTTGAAAAAAAAAGTTACTCATTTAGTCCTAAAAAGAAATTAAAGTTGCTAATAATCCATCTTGTAGGTGAGTGAATGAGTAAATGAGTCCTATACTCCTATTTTTAGAAAGAAACAGAATGATATTGAAAAAATGTGTTATGTTTTAGCACTTTCGAATGAAACAGAATGTTAGCACTGTACTCATAAGAACTTTCACACTGAGCTTCGAGTTCATACAATGCACTTTCCTTGGTTGCAAGCAACAACTTTCCATTAACCTCCCAGAACACGCTTAGCAAATCTCCAAAGGACAGATATAACCCTTTTCCACTTCTTGCCTAGCTTATGACTCTCATAAGAGGTAGAGTTCATCAATTGCATTGTAATAAAATACCTCTAAAACAATAGACTTTTAAAACTAAATCTTTCGAACTGTATTGGTTGTAGCAAAACAATACAATTCTGGTTTTCATTATTTAAAAGTTGTAAAACAGACATTACCACTTACACAAAAGTTGAAGAGTAGGGCATTTTTAGTCCAGTGTGTATGTGACTATGATTTAAAGAGTTATAGAAGCCCTACTTCTCATATAGTTGTGAGCTAAGAAGAATATGATAAAAGTGCAGATTCAAAACATCATAGGCATGTTTACAGCTAAAGTATCATCACTTAATCTCCATAAGGAATATAGGAATGACATGGAAAACCTGGACTGAAGTTCTTGTGAGCAGCATCAAATTATGAATCTATTTACTCCTTATTTTTAAAACAGAATTTGACATGCATGAACAAAAAACAAAATGACAAAACAAAACAAAAGAGAATGGGTAGGGAAAAAGTAAGCATATAAAACTTTCTTTTTCTGTTTTTTGCATGCATTTTTTCTTGTTCTATTGATCTGTTTTACTGAATTCAAATATACTCACATAGTATTGGAAAATTTAGTTCAAATTGGAACAAGATGTATAGAGTATGGACACATAGGAGCCTTCAATACACATAAGTTTGCTCTATGAAACTGTCTGTTTAATGTTGTCTTCATTGTTTGAATGTAGATTAGATTTGCAAATGGTATTGCCACCAACTCAAGAATAAAAACAGAGCAGACTGCCTATATTAAACAAAAACTTATAAATGGGAACATGGATTGTGCAAAACCAAAAACTTCTACTTTGGGTTCAATGAACAAAAAACAAAAATACAGAACAAAAAGAAAAGAGGCTGCCTATGAAAAAATTAAGTAAGCATATATAAGATGGCATGGAAAACCTGGACATACTTCTATTTATATTGTCATTGTATTTATCCTCATGGTTGTGATTGTAGTTTAGTATAATCATATGGAAATCCTAAGAAAACCATGGTGTATGCTCTGTTTTCTTTTGAATGATCCGTATGAAAAGCTCCAGATGAAAGCTGATTTTTAGTAAAGAAATAAATGGAACAATGAGTTAAAACCAAATAGGAAGAAAGGAAACAAATTACTTATTAAAAGTCCATCTGTTTTACTTTAAGGATGAACCTAAAAGAAAATGACAGCACAAAAAGAAAATAGACTGCATAGCCGAAAAAGTATTGGTATTAGAAACCCAAAAGCAACGACAAAAGAGCATAGTGGCAGCCATATTAAGATTGAATAGATTATATCTTATTAAAGTTTTGGTTTTCTTTTTCTCAAACCTAATAGAATTTGATATTAAAGGAGCATAGTGGCAGCCATATTAAGATTGAATAGATTACATCCTATTAAAGCTTTGGTTTTCTTCTTTCCAAACTTAATAGAATTTGATATTTTAATTACTCTGTTTTATTGTTTTCTAACATGACATTAGCCTAATAAAACCCTCTTTTGTACTTTCCCTAGTTTGTTTTATACAGGGGAGTTTTTAAAATTTATAAAAACAATTTTAATGCACAACATACTTGGAGTGTTTTTTTGTCGCTAATCTGAACTAATGAACCCAAAAATTTACATATTATTTTTGTAGCTTAATTGAGTGATCATTATATGCAAGACTTGAAAAAAAAAGTGACTCATTTAGTCCTAAAAAGAAATTAAAGTTGCTAATAATCCATCTTGTAGGTGAGTGAATGAGTAAATGAGTCCTATACTCCTATTTTTAGAAAGAAACAGAATGATATTGAAAAAATGTGTTATGTTTTAGCACTTTCGAATGAAACAGAATGTTAGCACTGTACTCATAAGAACTTTCACACTGAGCTTCGAGTTCATACAATGCACTTTCCTTGGTTGCAAGCAACAACTTTCCATTAACCTCCCAGAACACGCTTAGCAAATCTCCAAAGGACAGATATAACCCTTTTCCACTTCTTGCCTAGCTTATGACTCTCATAAGAGGTAGAGTTCATCAATTGCATTGTAATAAAATACCTCTAAAACAATAGACTTTTAAAACTAAATATTTCGAACTGTATTGGTTGTAGCAAAACAATACAATTCTGGCATGACATTAGCCTAATAAAACCCTCTTTTGTACTTTCCCTAGTTTGTTTTATACAGGGGAGTTTTTAAAATTTATAAAAACAATTTTAATGCACAACATACTTGGAGTGTTTCTTTGTCGCTAATCTGAACTAATGAACCCAAAAACTGTTTAGATGTTCAATGTGAAACAGCCACACAATTCATTGTTGGCTTTGAATGCAGGCTGCTTTTCAATATATCATGGTCTAAAGATGTAATTGATTTACCATCACAATGATTTATCAATATTTATAACCACAAACATAGAAAAATAAATAAAGACAAAAACTATATTAATTCCTATGTTGAACCTATATTGACAGTTGGAAGGGTAAAACTTAATGAGACATTTCATCAAACATGTTATATGCACAATGTTATTGTAGTCCATAATGAATAAATCAATATCTATCCATAATCATAGGACAATTCCAGTTTGAAACAGGATGTTTGACTCCACTCTAAAGCTTCAAAATGAAGCCTTCACAAAAAGAATACTTTATAAGGTGAAGAAGAATGTGCACTTACAATATGTGTAAAAAGAACTAAAAAATCAACAGCGAATACTAATTAGATTCAGAGAAAGATGATGGAATGAGACAGAGAGTACCTGTGGCGTTATTAGAGAGGGCAATAGAGCATAAAACCCTAGTATTGTAATGGTATATATATATATATAGTGATAATACCTTGTATTGCAGTGGTTTGTGCTTTCACGTCTCTCCAAATTGCGGTAATTCCGTGGATGGGAAGCGGGTGAGGCGTGTTGTACATGGCAACCTCAAGCTGTATATCGGAAAATTTTGTGGAGGAAAAATCGGAGAAGAAAGTGGCCAGCTAATGGAGTTTTTTAGACGCAGGAAGAAGAGTAATCTGGCGCAGGTATTTTTCTTTCTTTGGCAAAATTCGCAAACAAAAAAAAGCCAGGTGGAGTGCCGAGAGAAGCAGAGTGAAATACGGAAGGCATGACACGTTGGATTAATAAGGGCATATTTGTACTTTGAACAGCTATCTCTTTTCTTATATATAAATAGATTGCAGCGAACATTTATTGATATTGACATAATAAAATTACCATGACAAAAAAACATCATGATATGATAATTTGAGTGCGACATTCATTTTTTTCTAAATCTATTTCATTAATGATCACATTTTGATCCATATATAAAAATACTCATTTTATAAAAACTCTAAAATCTTTTTTCATATGGAGCTATATATTGAAAAGGAATTTTATCAATTCAGGGTCTGAAAGATAGATTAATTATCAATTCAGGATCCGAAAGATGAAACGTATCAGTATAGGACCGGAATGATGGAAAATTATCAATTCCATTACTAATTTTTGATAAACTTTTCTTCACAAAAGTTTATTAATTTTAATAAAATGAAATAATATTTAAAATTTTTTAATAAAAAAATTATGACTACTTAGGTCCTAGATTAATAGTTTTCAATCATTCAGGTCCTAAATTGATAGTTTTTCATCATTCGGGTCCTATATCGATGCATTTTATCTTTCAGGTCCTGAATTGATAATTAATCTATCTTTCGAGTCCTGGATTGATAAAATTCCGTACAAATGGCAAAATTGCATATCCTACGATAAATTGTGCACGTATAGCTAGAGCCTAGAGGTGTTCGCGTAACCGGCGGGTGTAGCTCAACTAGTTAGATCCCAAATTCGAATCCCGCCAATTGCGATGAGAAATTACTATGATAAAATAGATAGAGTCTCATTGTCTATCTTGTCACATTTGAATTATAATCCAAAATTAGGGGATGGGGTTGTCATCTTTTGTTTAGAGGTGTTCGCGGAAAATGTGTTTTCTTCACAGTTTTCCTCCGTTCATATCTCTCCATACCTCAACAAATCATACATCCACATTCAAATCCCCCCAATGGAATCACGAAAAGAAGAAGAAATTAGTAATTTGTTCTCTGTTCACGACTTCAGGGGCATGCCATAATCATTCTCATTGTCTGTTTCCGATCACCATCGTTTACTCTCCGCCATCTACTCCTCTTCTCATCTTGCGGTATTGGATGAAGAAGCTTTGTAGCGTTTCTCTCGTCGTGTACCTTCACATCTTATTGTATTCTCTAGCCTTATGGAATTTCCGGTTTCGGGTAATCCCAGTTCTATGACTATCAATTATAATAAATCTTAGTGGATGTTGTATCATGTATGTGTGTGTAAAATTATGGCGATTCAATATTCTTATAATGGGATTTGGAATTTTGATGGGGCAGTGGTTGGTGGACAGAATTTGAGACGCGATCAAGAAATTAAGCGCCATTTTCCCGTTGATGGAGGGTTGCCACAATGGCCGGTGCATCTTCCCATTGTCAAGTTTGCAAATTGGGTAAGAAGATTGATTTCATTAGAAGTTTTCTCTGAATGCGAATATATCGTACTCCATATTTTTTAACCTCGAGAAAGATTTTATTTTTGGCAAATGCCACCATAGACCTTTAGTCATTTCTGTTAATTAAGGAGAACAAATTATATTTTCTTCCCTATCATATTGAAGAAACTAACCACTCCCGTGCAAAAATGGATTCCTATGGCTGTTAATTATTTCTCGTTTTATGATTCTTTATAGTTCTATGTTACTAAATAAATACATGAATGTAGCTTAGAGGGAAGTATCACTCAATAAATAAAAAAAGATGAGATAATCCTGCAAAGTTACAAGTTGCTTGAATTTGATATAAAGCCATGAAGTGCTCCCTTCATACCAAACAAGTTGTTGTTTTAGCAAAGTTTTTAGTCCGGAAATATTTATTATTTTAGGGATTCAATGTATATTGTGTAATTTGTACTACCCTCCAAAATATATTATTATTAACTCTTCTCACATTGAATGTTTTGTATTCTGAAATTATTAGTTGCATTTACTGTTGAAAATCTATAATGTTAGAAGGGTCTTTGTGCATGGTCCTTTATGTGTGCATTTTTCTAAAATGGAAATTAATTTGTTACAGAGGGAGCAACATCTAGCATGATACAAAAATGAGTCCAAATATAAATCTTTGAGATGGAAATGCATTGTCTGTCCGTAAATAGTTTAATGCCAATTTTGACGCTCAATTTGCTATGAGATAGTAACACCAACATATTTGGTATTTGGCCTTCGGCAACTAGACAAAGGACAAGTTTTAATCTTACTCATGCTCTAAGTCTGATCATAAACTATGTTTGCGTGAACAATAGGGATTTGCAGTGCTATCTTTCACGTCGCAACATCTTCTTAGCCCCCGAGAGTAAAAAATTTTATATATTAGTCGACAACCGGCCATGGTTGCAAGATCTCATCTCTCATCCGGCACACTTGTGGCAACTGATGGTCACCAAGGTAGATAAACATACTACCTCCGTCCCGGTGGACTTTGCCAAGTGCAAAATAGGTGAGAAATAAGAATAGTAAAAACTGTGTGGTTGAGATTTGTGCAGAGGAGAGAGAAATGTGCAGAACCAAAAATTAGTTGCTTTAATAGGAAATTGGCAAAGTTTTTTGGGAAAGTTGGCAAAGTCTAATGGAGCGGAGGGAGTATAATTTTTTGTCAGGAAGTACTTACAATTCTTTAGTTAATAAAAAAGAAGGCATGTTTGATTCGAACTATCTTTGAAATTAATAGTCCAGAGTGTCTCCCTTTGCCAATACCAGAGGGAAGGATAAAAGACCTACACGAGAGGCGCAAGCTAAACCAGAACCGAATGAAGTCAATTCAGAGGAGGTTAAAAGATGGTTTTCTATCGTTGATACTGCAGCCTTATCTAGGAAAAGTGCATTATTTCCTGTGAAGAAATTGAAGGTTTTATCACTAAGTAGCAACCTGAATAGGACTTTATATGGCTTCATTGTATTTGAAGTTGCTTGGAGTGATGTTCGTGGTATAAACTATTGTAATGAACTCCAGGTACCTTTTTACTCATGCCCTTCATTTGTTAAACCTCAATGATTTAAGTAGTCACTCAAGTTCCATATTAATGGACAGACAGATACTTCATTTGCTCTAGAGGCTAAATTTATGAGAAGATGGGAATTTGATAGTATGTCACAAGCTGCTAGATGTATACGTTCGTGGTTCTCTGGGACTCATGCTGAGCGAAGTACTATGGCAGAGTATTTGGACCCTACAATTGGTATACTTTTGTTCATATGGCTGTTTTTGCATATAAATAAAAGTAAATTTATACTATTTCTTTTCTTGCATTGGATTTGTTCAACTTTTCTATGGAATGAAAAGTCATTACACTATGAACCGTGACAACTTAGAATTTACTTGGATTAAAAATTATACTCCCTCTGTCCCCTAATATTGGGACAGAAAGGAGTGGTGTGGTTTTTAAGAAAAGTAGAATTATGTGGTTGATAATGAGTCGATAAAGTGGGAATAAAGTAAGAATGAATTAAGATGTTTTTACTTGGACTGTAATTTGCTGGTCTGGTCTGGTCTGGTTTCTTTGTATTTTTATAACTATCCAAGTCTGTTCTGAACTGGTCTGGTCTGGGAGGAATTACAGTCCAAGTAAAAACATCCTTAGAGTCACACAAATGTTACCAAATATGGTATGGGACAATAATAGGGGGACATCCAACAATGGAAAAATGGGACAATTATTGAGGGACGGAGGGAGTACTACCTACGTCCCATTCAAAGGCTCCAAACCACTATTCACATGATCAACTTAAATCATTCTTAATCTTTTGCTTTGTAAAACTTTAAATGTAGTTTTTGAATATATAAATTTTATTTTAAAAATAATCAGAGTGTGAACAGGGATCAAATTGTTTTATCATCAGTCAAGCATCGTAAATCAAACCGGGAACCTCTCTATGGGATGGAGAGTACCTGTTTCATATGCCCAGAAGGCCAACGACGCAATAGTTAATGTAATACAATTGATGTGTGTCTCATTGTCTTGGGAAATAGGCAAACTGAATACATATATGAAACAAGGAATTGTATCTTTTCCATCAATAGGGTTATGCCACATACGGATATATATAAAACACGAACATGTATGCATAATTTCCGAACATGTATACATGTATGCATGTAGCTTAATTTTTTTTTACTTTTATCTACTTGCCCAAATAATTGTTTTTCTTTTTGTTCAGACATCAACATACCTTGTGAAGCAATTTTTAATTTCTGATCATGGGGTAGATAATTATTTCCATGTATATATTTTTGCATTGTTATTTCTGCAGGGGAGGAATTTTATGATGCCCAAGTAAATTTCTCAAGGAGCAGTGTAGTAGATAACAATGATGCTACTGCTGATAGTTTTAGTAATGGAGCTAAATATATCTGTTCAAGTAAAAGTTGCATTGTGCTCCCTGAAACCATAAAGGTCAGTGCAATTTCAAGTAGGCCATCTACTGCTAATGGACCGTGTAAGAGAAGAAAAACTATCAATGACAGACTGGAAATCTTTCATGATGATTGTTGTTGTGAGCAGACTCCCTACTCATCTACGTTTGAGGATGACAAAGTTGAAGCTACCAAGTACAAGGACATTTTAATTTTGTTTCGGTTTAATGATCGTGATCTCCCGTTTAAATTAAAAGACATTATTATGTCTGATTTGCGGTTACTTACACTGTTGGAGTGTGGGCTTCCATCATGGGTCATCTTCCTACAGTCCTACCCTGGGCTTTGCCATATCTACCGTCCGTGGATGTGCCCCTTAGCAAGATTCTTATACGTTCTTATTTCTGTCATTACTGTTCTGATAGGATTTTATGACCTGTACAAAAATGTACCTCTCATCAAATCAACAGCTTCTCACGTGTTTGGACCTTTTTTTGATTGGATAGAAACATGGGAAATGATATCAAGAATTAGATACTTGGGGACAATGTTGTTTCTCCACAATTTTGAGAAGGCCTTTAAGTGGTTCCTCTCAATGACACGTATGGTTCAGTCGTTTTTGTCAATTCTCACACAACCATTTACTGGTCCGTTTTCCGAGTTTTTGGAATTCTTCCTTCCGTTTTGGAACTTGTGTGATCAAGCGGCGGATAGTTTATTTTCAATAATATGGTTAGTTTTGGAGAGTTTGTTGAATCTCGTAGGAAACATTTTCGAGGTCCTACTATTTCCAGTGTGGTGTATCCTATCAGTTTGTGGGACTATTGGTAAGTATACTACATATAACACTCACTTTTGTTTTCCCCCAAAAGCATCCTATTTGACTAATGAAGCTAATTTTCATTATTTTATGTATTTTTTAAACATTATGTCCCCGAAAAGTTTAACATGTTAACATTAGTTTTATCAATCATCAACAAATAAATTTAAAAATATAGCTGGATTTGATTATTTCCTATGGTGTTGATCTTACTTACATCGGTGAAACAAGACTATTTTTGAACAGAATAAATTAAACATTTGCATATTTTAATTTGTTGCTTGGTTATTTATTGTTCTCATTAAATCATTGTTTGCAGGGACATGCTTTTTGTACCCTATATTTTGGAGTCTCTGTGGAATAATTTATGCTCCTATTCGCTTGGTCATGGCATGCTACAGTCTTAGTGCCGGTGTATGCTCTTTCATGCATGAAGTGATTGTAGACTTAGGGATGTTTTCGAGTAGTATTCTCAGACTCACTTCAGAGGTTGAGTCCACGGTGACAGTGACCTCAGCTGAGGTGTCCGCATGGCGTTCCCTCTGGAATGACCTTTTCTCTCAGGTTGGTTAGCTTCTTGCCATTATTAAGAATACCTTTTGGCACTCTCATTGGCACATCTAGTTTTTACGCTCCAAATTTACTTGGTGAGCAGATTTTTCGTGCTCTTCGAAGCATTCTCAATGGTCTTGTTGCCTTCCTCATGGCCTGCAACCGACATCGCTTAAGGTGGGGTTATCATTATTTTTCCCAAACACATGTTGCTAATCGTAGTGTAAACCACAATTCATATAGCTAAATGAGCTCAAGGTTAGCATTTTTCATGAGTCATGGTCGAACAATTGAACTTATGCTTAATTTGTTTGGGGATAAATAGAGAGGAAAGAAACAAGGAAGATAGAGATAGAAGGAAAAGAAAAAGAATCAATATATATTTCTTAGTATTACTCCATAGTTGTTCTTAGGAGGGCAATGAGTGACAAAAAAAAATGTGGGCGAGATGGCAGTGTTTCTCTCTCAAATGATGCAAGGAAATGGAATATAATTGATCCATTTTTTATGATTATCTTTTCGTCCTTGCTTTTATTGTGTACCATCTTTAGATATAAGGGATTTTTTGACCATTTTAAAGTATCATCCACTCCTTTCTCTCTCTTTTCTTTCTAATTTCTGTTATGCAAAAGAACTCACATATCTCACTTATTTTCTCATCTATTTCTCTCATCGATTTCTGTTTAGCATATAATATCTGAAGTCTGTCTTTGAACTAAATGTTCATCATATATAATAATTTGTTTGCCCTATATGACTCCCTACTCTTAAGATTACAATCTCTCTTTTCAAATCATGTTCTCCTAATTAAAAGAGCAATAAATTGAAGTTTGGTTTAAAAAGTCGAAGAAGAAAACTCGAACTTGGAAGCGTTAGCAAATAGTTGAATTTATAGTGTAATTGATTTACCTACTTTAATATTTCAATTTATGTCTAATAACTCGTTGCATTTGCAGTATTTATAATCACACAAAAGAGTTCATTCAAAAATTATCACAATCCAGTGAGAGAGGCCAGCTGACAGTTTACAGTGGACATGTATCAACAACACAAATGGTGAGTCTCATATGATTGTAGACTTGTAGTCACTGCATTTTTTGTTGTTGGAATCTGTATTCATTATTTTTTTAAGTAACTGTACTTGACTGATTCGAATAAGCAAAATAGAATATACTTCTGTAGTCTAGATTAAATATATAAATTATGGAGCTTCTGGTAATTCCTCATTATGTGCATGTAAGGCCACCATACATGATTTAGTTCAAGGTCATTGGGAACTTAGGGGAAGAAAAGATTGTGAATCAATGACGGTTGAAGTAAGAAATCTGAATTTCCCACCCGCTCTTGGAAAGGAATAATAATTATTTAAAAACAATAAATTATTATTTTAATTATTCTGCCATTCCATAATAAATAGAATTTAGAACTATTACAACTCATATTAAAATATTAATTAAGAAAAAACAAAACAAAACAATATAACAGATAGGAAAGACTAAGTATTAGCAAACAACTTTATAAAACTCGGGCAACACTTCATGTCTCATGGTACCGCCCCTTCTCCGCTCTTTTTGTCACTGATAGATGCAGCCATGTAGATGTGAGCTAAAATCACTCCCAAGTGTCCCAACATTATAGAAGAGCCCGGCCTCATCAATCTTGAAATCTCAGTAACACTTCAGAAGAGTTTGAATCTCTCCCATGTTGCTTCCATGCCAACTGTCCAACACTCCAGACCACTTGATGAGGAGCTCAATAATGCTCTTTTACTGTGCACACACAAGACTGAGAAGGGGCATGATGTGAGTTTTCTCGCACTTAAAATATGTGTCGTAGTATAGGGTGCAAGGGCGAGTATCGTCTCCACAGGGACGGAAAAAAGGAATCATGTATTAACTAAATACAACGATAAAAATAAATAAAATAAATGCGATGTGCGAGATTTGGATTTTTGGAAAATTAAAATGCGAAAAACGATTAAAATAAATGAGTTCTTTCTAATTAATGACGATAAGGAACAAGGATTGATTCTGGGTAATCAGATTTCTGGGTGATCATTCTTAATCACATGAAAATTATTTAATTGAGCAACGCTAATCAATACTAAGTTCTAACCGCTATCGCGGCGTAGAGTACAATAATTTTGGGAAACAGTGAGCGTAGGACCCTTTAACCGTTACTAATCTCTTAGTGAACGATTAAGTGTGTGTGAAAGTGTCCTAAAATAAATTAGTTCTCTCTTAATTTATTGTATGTGCAATTATAATCCTAGCTGCAGTTCTAGGTTACAAGAGATATCAATTAAATCATTCAAACACAAATTAAATAAAGATCATGCAATTAATCCATCAAGAACGGAACCCTAGATCATGATTAACCCTTCATCAATCCCAAATCCCTAAATAAATCTACTCACAATTCATAATTGAAAGATCAATAGAATTGAGAAGGAAAAAATTAATTGTCATTAACAAAAAAGATGGAAATTACAAAGAATCCCAAAATCTTGATGAACAAAGCTCAGAAACCTTAAGAAATCCATCCCCAAGCTTCTCTCTATACTCCTCTCTCAAATAAAGGTTTAAAGCTTGTTTAAATAGGAAAAATACACTTTTGGGGCGTTTTTTAGTCGCACATGGTCGTTCACATAGCCGTGTGCACGACCAAGCTTTCCGCCTTCGGATGAACAGTAACTTCGAAAATGCACACGGCTCTGCACACGGTGTGTGGACGGCCGTGTGTATGTAACAGAATCCTCAGGGCAGTGGCGGACCCAGAAGTTTTCTAAAACGGGGGCCCACAACCACATGGATAAGAATGGCTCGGATTGGGTGCATCACTGGTCCATGGGCGGATCTAAGGGAGGGCTAACATACGCCCTAGCTCACGCCAAATTTAAAAAATGTTTTTTAATTTTTAAGGTGAACAATTCCGTGCAAAAGTTTTTTCAAATATATTCTTTGCACCGCCTAGTCCGGCCCAGTACCCTTGATCCGCCCCTGAACTGGTTTATTCTGTCTAGTATGTTTAGATTATTATTTTCAACCGGAAATAGATTATTCAATGTCGGTTTCAGGACTTATATAGATTAAGGTCTTGTTTTGAACCCATTAAAAATACTACCTTGTTAAAAATACTACCTTGTTAAAAATGAAGTACTACATACAGTTTAATTTTATTATTTCATCATTCAATACAATTTTATCTAATAATATGATTTTATATATCTAACTTTTATCATATTGCAATACAAAAAATAAAAAGGTATGTTGATCTAGCACGTATTGAAAAAAAGTTTCATGTATATATTTTTTTCAAGAACACAAGTTTTTCATCTATTTTAAGTTAATCCACATTTCAAAGAAAGTTTAATGATCATATCAACAACATGTCTAATTGCATGGAATCGATCCCTCACGCCTTGTTGTCATTTACATTTTCACTACAATATATATGCTCTTCGGTGAAATTATCCTTATATCTATTTTTTTTATCCGTGAAGCGGGGGCACGGTTTTTATTTTAAGTACTAATACTAAATTTCGGGATCGGAAGCGGGGACACTTGCCCCCCAGGACCCCCCTAGGTCCTCCACTGCTCCAGGGTGCACATGGCTCTGCACACGGTGTGTGGGCGGCCGTGTGGGCGGCTAAAGTCAATTTCTTCACTTTTCTTCTAAACAAATGGTCTTTAAGTCTTCGTTTGATCCTGTGGGCGATCCTAGAGCTCTTTTGTCTTCAAAACCTTGTCTTTAACGCCTCGTCTACCTCCAATGCTCTTAATCAACTCTCAATTGCCTCTCGACTTATTCCGATAACTTCTCAAATGCCTGTGTCGGGCTTAATTCCCTTATTTTCGCTTCTGAAAACAACAAACACAGAACAAACCCGGTAAACCGTGACTTGAGCTAATTAAACGCTTTGTGACTCCTATAGATTAGGAAAAGTGGTAAAACTCAATCCCAACACGCATCAAATGCATGTTGATATATGAACTTATCAGGCCAGAGCATAGCTGGTGCACTCTCCAACAGAGGTGACACATCCATAAAGTGGGAGTTGGTCGCTTGTGTGGTTCCAATAATGAGACGTGCAAGACATCAGTATATTATTGTGGGAGGAAAACCAACCTATATGAGGTTTCGCTAATTGGGTTTCATAATTTGGAATGGACTAAAGAAAAGCTGGTGATAGGATGAATTTGAAGCTAAACTTATTCCCCGAGGCAGAGCTTAAGTCTTGACATCCTTTATCACATTGGAGCTTCATTGCTCTAAGCGCGCGGAGCAAAAGGGCTTTAGCCTTGGCAAAGATGTCATACCAGTCAATGAGCACACACTCCGCACAGTCCACAACATCCACCCCATGTCTGGGGTATATGAGATTCTGATATGAGCTATGGGGAATCATGACCATACACCAAGTGGAAGGGAGTGTCGCCTGAAGAGGTTGTAATGAAGTATTGTAGCAATATTCAACCCGCGGCAGCCATCAAACATAGTCTCGTGGAAACTCGCATGCCCCACAACAAAGAAACATGATCATGGTGCGACTGACCTCCTTCATTTGTCTTTCTGTCCATTCCATTAGGGATTTAACTACTTAGGTGTCTAACCATCCCAGTTTGTATTGGAGCGTAAAAATGGTAACCTATCAATTTATTGAGCTAATGTTGTTAGAAAAAGTAATGAGTTATTCCTCTAATAATTTAGATTAAAGTGATGGTATGTATATAATAGGAACTCTTGCCCCTACTATACAGACACAGTTTTTGAAGGCACACCTCTTTGGTCAATAGCTTTCTCTTATAGGCAGCTAGTTTGACGCAGTGTTGTGAATAGCGACGCGTTAGCGCGCAATAGCGGAAAAGCGGAGCGGCATACCTGTTAGGCGCTACGAGGAGGGGTCTCGCGTGGCGTTTGGGAGTTGCGTTCATAGCGCCCGCTATCGCAGCGGTGCGCTGAAGGTAGTAGCGGACGCTAACGCGGCGCTCTTTATGCTAAAGAGTACTGCGCAGATTTTTAGCGTTAAAATTTTTAACGCAGACATAGAAGGGGGTAAAATAGACTTTTAAAACAAAATATTAACCTAGTTAAAGGCTCAGACGTAAGTTAAAGGATACCAAAATTTCAAACCGAAGCCCAGCTTTTGAAAATAGTCCGTTGCACCTCTGCGATGGCTCTAACGACCATCATCTTTTTCTTCTGCTCTGCGATGGCCTCACTTCCAAGAACGACACCTGCTGCTCTCATCTGCCTTCAGTAATATCTATGCTGCAACTATTCTTCTCCAACCTTTGCTGCAACTATTCTTCTCCAACCTTTGCTGCAAGACTTCTTCTCCAACCTTTGCTGCAACTATTCTTCTCCAACCTTTGCTGCAAGACTTCTTCTCCAACCTTTGCTGCAAGACTTCTTCTCCAACCTTTGCTGCAACTATTCTTCTCCAACCTTTGCTGCAACTATTCTTCTCCAATTTTTTGACTGTTTATATATCAAGGCTCAAACTCTTAAACTAGAACCTTGTTTTTTATTCAAGATGTTTTAATCATTTATAGCATGATAGCATCTTATATTTTGGTCATGAAACTGAAGACTTAAAAGAGTATTACTAAGTAATTTAGGATTTGGGAATGTTAAGACTTAAGATGTTTGAATTTTGAAAGCTTCATTGTCATATATCATACTTTTTGAACTTGAAATGTGTATGTAATGTATTATATATGCTTCTAGTAATTACTTATGTATTATATTTGAAAGTAGCTTAAATAGCGGTCATCCCGCTTCCCGCTATACTGCTATAGCATTTTTGGGTCTAGCCGCTCCGCTCCGCTATCTGGGATTGACAACACTGGTTTGACGTGCTAGCCCGCGATCATATGGCTATTGGCTAAAATGAGCAATGGGATGCAGTGCTTGTTGCAGGACTGTCCTGAATCTTCTGCAGGTCCATCACTCGATTATAAATGGCTCTCAAAAGTTGGTAACTGAAGAATGTGAGGTTGATGCTAAGCACTGCTAGAGGTGTAACACCATTTGATCGTTAGGATCATTTCAATACTGGCTAGTGGGACATAATAATCTCTCATGAAGGAAAATCTAATAACCTTAAAGTGTAGACTGTAGATCTACACAACCGCGTACAATAAAAACTCGGACTACATTAGCTATGATCACATGCAAATGTGACTATAAACTTTGTTACTTTGTCTCTAAGGTTCCTTGTCAATGGTTGATGTTCTCCATGAAGCTCTTGAAAGATTCTAGTTTCTGCCATTGCCTTACACGATCCAGTCCAAAGTCTTTGGGAACATTGAGGAAGAAAATACTCCAAATTAAAGCTATTGTGAACAAAGCAAGAAATCCAAACTTCCCGCCCTAGGGATGGAAGATGGGTGATTGTACTTATGTGCTTCCAAGAAGAGTAATTACTTAAAAATGTTAAGTTACCATAATACCATTCCAGCTTTTCTACCTTATATATGCTATAAGAAAATAAAACAATCCCAAAAGTAAAGATTCAACATAAAATTAATAATAATATTACTATATTAATATTAATATTAATAATAATATAAAAAGGTCGGTTGCATCGCTTATAGATGCAACCCGTAGGTGGGTCTCGATAATATGTTTATTTGACCGTGTATAATAGATATTTTTATTTTTAGTTAATTCATCATCATCATCATCATTACCCCAGTGCCACAAAGGCTCCCACCTACAGTGGAGTAGGAGGGTCGGATGTACGTGGATTTACCCGTGTACTAAAGCACAAAGAGACTGTTTCCGGATGACCCATAGTGAAATTCACATAAAAAATTGCATGGACCGGTCTGCTTCTTCGTAAAAAGAAACGCAAACAGTTTAGTGGGCCATTTTGCTTTATTCCATCATATTCCCAAGCCAAAAATAGTGAGTCTTTGGCTCCATTGCGAATAATGGAAAAATTCAGTTCATTGTCATCTCATTTTTTTTAATATTGCATCTCATTACTCCTTCATAAGAAGGTCATGATCTCATGATGTATACTTATCACTTTACTTTTTGCATATTGCATGCACTTATAGTATTGCACATAAAAAATATCCATCTTTGATGAATATTTATGACTTTTTAGTCTGGGAACGGTAAGTGTCACAAACTATGAAGCTTACATATATATCTAATTTGTTAGATCATTTGTTGGTCTAACTATATTTAGCATATTACACTTGTTTCTGACTCTCTTTGACAACTTTTAGATCAAGCTGGTCTCTTTTTCTGGGACCAATCCAAGAAGCCAAGTATTTATAACTAGACTCCTTTTATGGTGTGTGGGGGGGGGGGGGGGGGGGGAGTATTAAGTATTAACTAATTTTAGAAAATTAATTAACACGATAAGCGCATGCTACTTTGTATGTAGCACCATTATATGTAGATTGTAGTTCACTAGTTCAACAAAGTCATGTTGATGATGAGATTAATAACATTGTTTCATGCATATCTTTGTTACTTTGTATGTCTGTTTCAGATAAGAAATACTTTATTCCTCTAGATAAATGACACATGTTGTTTGACTGTTCGTGGAAATGTTTTCCTAATTGCAGTTGGAAGATAAGTAGGTTCAGTATCAGCACCTAAGAGAATGTTCAGAAAAGCTGCAGAAGTTATTGTAAAAACAGCAACAATCTTTAGAGCATGGGTGGTCCAGAAATCTGAATCGGAATATGTTGAAGATTAATTATACCACACTAAAACATTACTGAGGTAGGCTAAATATTAAAAATGAAAAATATTACAACAAAAAAATTCGACAAAAAATAAATTGTCCTATGCTTCAGCACTATAGCCTTAAAGTAAATCCTCCCCTTCTTTTGAGTATACTGATGGGCATAGCCATAGCCAGGCCAGCTAGCAGGGTTCTAGTCGGGAGTATCATCTTTATGATTTCCCACAGTTGTTGAAGTCCACAACGGTGAAACCTTTTTCACAAACATTGGCTGCTCACTTTAACAACATTCCAACTTTTTTTTACTTTTAGTTTGCATATATATTGGTTATGGTGGTTGAACAGTAAGTCTGTAACATATGTAAATGATGTACATATGCCTTGACTATTTGTAATTTGTACGGAGTAAATGATAGTCATTTTTTAGGGTTAGTTACTTCTTAAGATACTAATTTGGTCAATATACACATGTGCATTCACTCCCCTTGAAACTGAGCTACCCCCCCCCCCCCCCCCCCCCCCCCCCCCGTTTTTTTGGTTTTTAACCGAGCTAAAAAAACTCTTATACCTAAATACATGAAACGTATGAAATGATTATTTGGGAAAGAACTTTTCAAATGAAATAAGGACCAGGCTAGAATTAGTCTTACATATTACTTATGTGGCAAGATAAATACTCCACAAAATCGCCATCTTCATGTAATCTGGAAGGAGTACATCAAATACTACTGTGAGCTGAAGGGCTGCTCTAGGCAAATTAAAATTTGCATCTGTAACACTTTGAATTAAATGCCATACATTTTTATTTATTATAATACACTGTTCTAAGACTAGTCCCCGCTTAGGCGTTACGCGGTGGCTGGGTGTCTCGATTTTAGTCTAGGCGCTCCGACAAATTGATTTGGCCTATGTAGCACCGATACCGGTACGCGGAATCGCGGACACGGGTACGAGGATACGGCAAAAAAAAAAGTAGGATACAGACACGGGGCCATATTTTTAAATATTAAAAGTTATGGGGGTGTATTTACAAATATTAAAAGTTACAGGGGTGTATTTGTAAATATTAAAAATAGATTTTTTTTAGAAATATATACATATAATATCCTATGAAATATACAAAAAAAAATAATTTTTTTGGATATATATATCCTATATATACATATATACCCATTCATTACATATACATCATAATATTTCTCATATACACTAGTGCATCTTGAAATATAAATGTAGACATGTAGTCGATAAGTCATTAATTTAAAATGAGAAATAAGTCAAACAACTACAATCTTGAAATTAAAAGTGCAAGTACCAAAGTTCTAGAATAATTAAGATAGAAAACAATATTTTAAAAGCTCTAACATCTAATACATATTTTCATCGGAAGTATTAATTTCCAGGAATAATATCATCTTCCAAAAAAACTGCCAATGATACGGGTATCCTTCAGGATACGAGTATCGGAAACTTTCAAAAAATTACAAAAAAAATGGAAACTTTTAAAAATTACAGATACAGCCCGGGAACGTACGGTACGGGTATCCTAGAGTATCGGATACGGGAACGTATTCGATACGCCGATACGCTACCCTAGGGAAGTATCCGTGCTTCATAGGATTTGGCGCCTAGGTGAATTAGTCGACCGCCTAAGGCGCATAGTTGCCCGCCCAGAGCGTTTAATCGGCTGCCTAGGCGTCTAGATTCGTCGAACATTTTATTTTGCTTTTTATTTTAGTATTCTTAGAAATATATATACCCTTAACTTTAACAACACATATGAAGAAAACTATTAGTTGTAGATTACGATAAAAACTTGAGTGTTATTATTATTTAATACTACCTCTGTCCCATTCTATGTGTCTCATTTGGTTTTGACACAATTTTTAATGAAGTGGTTGAAAAGTTAAAAGTTGTGATTGAGATTTGGGTATAGTAAAATGAAATGTTGTGAACCACATATTTCATTCCGGGAAATGTGACACTTATTTTGGACAACAGAAAAAGGAAAGTAAGACAAGTAAAATGGGACGGAGGGAGTAATATTTACTACATAATGAAGTTAAGTGAGTAGGAATAATATATTTTTAAATGTGACAACTCTATCATTCATGCATGCTAATGTGTATACATATTTTTATACATATCAAAACACAACATTGATAATCATATTTATGCAAAAATATAAATAAAATATAATTTCTATGTCTCCGACTAGTCCCCAGATTTATGGGCCTCCAGATTTTTTAAAAATTATTAGTATTATATTGTAATATTATACTCCGTACGTAATATATTAAAATACAGTTAGTAAGGGAAAAAATATAGATCCATCATTTTTTCCGTTGGTCTTTTCAGTTCTCTTTTATTCAAATTACTTGAATAATGAGTTGTTTTGCTTTAAATAACTATTAAGTAAGTTTTACAAAAAACTAGTGTAGCACCCAGGGCATGCCCCAATAGTGTTAATTTGACATGGATCAGGTGAAATAAATTAAATATGGTAAACTATTCATAAGATATGATCAAAATTTTGATGATTGCTTTTATGAACTAACCACCACAATGGAATACAGATGAAGAATCACCATCTTTTGGAGTACTAATTTGTGGTTATAATTTTGGTTTATGTGCTTATTGTTGTAAAAGTTATTAATTATAGGACTAACCACCACCGTGGTATACTCCACTAATTATAGGGCTAATTATATGATAAGGAACGATAAGAAGAAGCGTTGAATTAGAATTGGGAATATGTAGAGTTTATAATTTACATTATTTTGGATATTCACATGTATTATTGATATTGTGCGATTAGAGTCTCGTCCACGTGAATTAAAGTTTCATTAAAAAAAATTAAAATATTTCAAAATTGAGCGTACATTATAGTGTGAACTTTTTATGACTACTGCCACTAACAAAGTGACATATTTGTTAGCAATTTGAAATCCCGTTTTACTAAATAAAAATAATAAATTTAAATATTTAATGAAATTTGGATTACTTATATATGTGTCATGACTATTGTGTAATGTGCATTTCCCATAATGCACATTTAAACTCAAAATTTACTATAGATATTATATATCATTGATTTATAGCTCAATTATTACAATAGTTTTTATATATATGTAATTTGGTGTCATATGAAAGATCATAAAATTTTACGATTTTTTATACTACCTCCGTTCTCTTTTAATTGCAACATTGGACTTTTTGCACTATTCACAAATTCTACTTTGAGTATATTTTATTTTTTTTGTATTATAAATTATTTTTTTTAAAAATTATTCTTAAATTCTTCTCATTCTAAATTTTCACAATCTGATTTCTTTTTAAATTTTTAACTAATAAAAAATGAAAGATATTAATGGTCAAACTTGTGTGTTGGCATATGTGAAAAGTGGACTCTTGCAATTAAAAAAGAACAAAGGAAGTATATGTTTTGTTAAATTTGGAGTGATGCACTGAATGAATTTATATATGCAATATTGATGACATATGAAAGATCAATGAGTTTTGATATAATTTTAGTAAAGAATGGAGTACAAATAAAAAGTTATAGCACGTTAAAAGATATTTTCTCATTCACTTTCTCCAAATGAGTTGGCCTGATTAATATGAATAACACTTATGCACCAAGTGAATAGCAGAGATGCACTGAGTGATCTTGGATTAATTAAATGTTTCAATAGTAATGATTATAAATCTTTTATTAGCCAATAAGAGACTAACACCTCGTTGATTTTAACCCAAATGTATTGTATAAAATAATATTTTTATTTTTATATATGCAATATTGGTGTCATATGAAAGATAATAGAATGTTATAAATTTTGGTGTATTTTCTGTAAAAATTGGAGTACAAATAAATGAGTTTTAATACATTTTAAAAAGTTTTTTTCTCCTTCATTTTCACCAAATGAGCAGTGATACATGTACTGAATAGCAATGATAAACCAAGTCAGCTTATATGAATTAAATGTTTTAGTAGTAGTGATAATAGAATTTTTATAAATCGATAGAGTTTTTAACTCGGATTTGCTATATAAAATACTACCTTCATCTCATTCAAAAGTTCCCGTCCACACACTATTATCCGGTCAATATAAAGTCTTCTTAATCTATTACTTTGTATATCCAATTTTAATCAAATTTGAATTTTTCTTTTGCGACTTTATAAAACTTTTGATGTAGTCTCTGGATATGTAAATTTTATTTACTAAAAAGAATCTAATTACGGATAGGATCAATTAACTTTATGATCAGTTAAATATCGTAAACCGTGTGGAACCTTTCTACGGGACGTAGAGATATATTTTTATTTATATATATATGATATTGGTGTCATATGAAAGATAATAAAAAGTTATGAATTTTGATATAGTTTTTGTAAAAATTGGATTATAAATATAAAAGTTATATCACTTTAAAAAGAGAGAATATTTCTCCTTTTTATGCTCCAAATAGGTTGTGATGTAGGGAGTTTTTTTTTTTGAAATAGCTGTGTGATGTAGGGAGTTAATTAATTGTTTTAATTGTTGTGATACTAGAATTTGCTTTATCCAATAGGAAGCTGACACATCATTAGTTTTTAACTCAACTTAATATATAAAACTATAGATTATTACATTATTTAATGAGTATTTAATTGATTTGAATATAAGTATTTAGATTGAGTTTTTTTTTTTAATTTTTTATATTGATGTGGGGCCTAGATTTTATATTTGGAACTAGATTTTATATTAAGTTTTAAAAACCATACAATGCAATGAGCTAAGATATGCATGTGTGAATATTACTAATTGACCAGCTGCACTACATCAACATGTAAACATTTAAAAACTAAAAACATCTTAATTGAAATTATGAATATAATATTTTATTTTCCACCTCACATGTAGAATATTATTTAATTTCATTTTTAAAGTAAAGAAAGATAGTTTTTACTAGTATTTTAGAATTGCAGCATTCCAAAAAGTAGACAAGTAGTATGTGTGTTCTTTACAAGGTGATATGATGTGAATTCTGTAAAAGGATGTAGTGTGCAATTAAGTAAAAGTTAATGGTGTAAATATTATGAGATAAAAGTTTTCAGGTGATAAATGTAATACCCGATGTTTTTACTTAGACTGAAATTTTCAGGTCTGTTTTAATTTGATCTAAACTGGTCTGGTAGATGTTCGATCTATGTGTATTTTATAACTGTCGAGATCTAGTCTATTCTGGTCTGATTTGATTTGATCTGTAACCTTAGATCTTCATTTACTAGGGGTCTTCGTCAACCGCGTTAGATCAAGCTTTGATGGTGCCATCTAATTAAAAACATGTAAAGAGTGCCCTTTTAATATGTCATCCAAGATGTCTGTTTTTCTAAAATTTAATTAGTACTACCTCCGTCCCATAATTTACTTCCAAAATAAAGTGGCACGCGAATTAAGAAAGTGGGAATTGTGTGGTGTAGAGTTGTGCAGAGGAGAGAAATGTTGTGAACCTTCCAAAAAAGGAAAGTGAAGTTCTTTTTTGGACGGACGAAAAGAGAAAGTTGGAAGTATTTTCAGGGACGAATGGAGTATATAATTGTTGGTTTACAAGTCCTTTTTCTTGATTAGGTTTTATCCAAGCAGAGAAGATCGATGTTGATGGTTGCACTGATAATCATATTGGATCATGTATACCTGGTAGTAGAGATGATGATACATGTAATAACATCTGCTTACAGAGCAAGTGCAAGAAAGGAGGCATATGCAAGATCATAGGGAAAACACCTCCCAACCATTTTTGTCACTGCCTTTGTTAGAAGGCCATCCAAACCAGAATAACTGAATTTGGTGTGTTGTACTTTTTATTTATAATTTTCTGATTAGTTAAACAAAAAAGACATTTTTTTTTGTCAAGTTTCATATGGAAATGTCAACATGCGCTTTTGTATGTTAAATTAGGTCCATCAACACAAGAATTTGAGAAAATATGATGCTAAGATTTTTTTATAAAGTAATGTCCTGATATATTTGCTCAAATGAAATAGAATCATAATGTGCTACATAATAGACTTTATCTCCACATCATAGATCCTTATAGTTGGGTTAGGCACACCACGCCAGTACCTTGACTTTGGGTATGGCTTGTTCTTAATATAGTGGTAACACCTTGCTGGTCTTCTCCCCATTAGAACTTGTTTGCCAATCTTCCGTCTGCCCCCTAACATTTCTGCAGACTAGAATTCTAAAATACGGAGACCTCCCTGGCTTTCACGAAAATGAGAAGATATGCCAAATAAGGGCTAGGGTTAGTTAAATATGATGCAAAGATAATACAACGTATAAACTCCGATCTGTTTTAATCACAAAACTATTATATGATGAAATCATAAGGTTAAATGATTTTAACCGTATAATTTGTCACCACATAATTAACTTTTAATGAAGTTTGTTATTCATTGTGAACCGGTTAGGGGAGTCACCATTGAAGTTTCTGCTCCACTTTTACCATGAGGGGGACATTAGCCGCGTTGTTGAGGAGTGACCTTGGTCTTTCGAACAAAACTTAGTGATTATAAAGAGCTTAGAGCAAACGAGTAGACCGCTTGAGGTGTCCTTAGAGTATGCAGAATTTTGGGTTCGAGTTCACAATCTTCCTTTAGGGTACATGACGGCTAAAAGAGCTCGAGGAATTGCAAATAGCATAGGGACTTTGTCCAAATTGATGAGCGCACTCTTGAGGGAAATGGAGGCCAGATATGCACATAAGAGTGACAATTAAATATTGCTCTGACTAGGAGATTGAGACTTCGACGGGAAGAGGACAATCAGATATGAGTGGATTTTATGAAAGGCTACCAAATTTTGTTTTAGAAATTGCTCAATATAGGACTAAAACATACACAAAGTTAAAAATGGACTAAATATGTTTTATTGTACAAGTAGGACTTATTTAGTCCTATTAAAAGAATAAGTTGATAAAAACTTCCCAAAATAGGAGTGGATAAGTCATATTTTGGGAATAAAATAAAGATAGTCCTATTAATGAATTGAACTTAATCTTTGTCTTTGTCCTATTTATGGAATTTTCTTTTTTTGTTTCTTATGTGGGATTCTGGAAAATGAAGACCGCTTTGCCCATCTAATAGCCACAATGAACCTTGGATCAAAGAGAAGCCATGCATATCAGGCCAAACTACGCGCAGATATGAGAAGAAACAGTGTGCACCTGAGAAACAAGTGGTTGATCCCTAGTGGAAGCAGATCTAACGACATTCATGTGGGTTCGAACAGCTAAAACAAACGGGTGAGACAACCACAACAGTTTGGCCTCATCCTCTAATAGAATCCAGTGCATGCATGTGGATGGACTAATGCCTTTGGTGTCGGTAATAAACCATCCAATGGTCCACTTGTACTCCTTTAACACTGATATCAACCTATCTTCTTGTTATTGGGCCAATACATTGGAAATAATCAGTGGTAGTGTTTTATTCTCATCCTAGAACACATGTTTCAAGTTTTGCAGAAGTGTTTTTAGCTCAACTCCAGGTTCCTGCAAAATAGAGGCCAAAAGCTTCTCGCTGGGGATGTTTAGCGGAAGGGCTTTAGAGTTCGATGGCATGAGCCGGAGATTGAAGTGATTATTCAACTTGACACTATCGCATGCATGTTAGTGGACATAGAGAAATCGAACCCATAGTTTTCCATAATCCTATTCGATGGTGCTTAACATTTCATCTTTTCCCTCAATTTCAAAGATATTTTGAATCTATGTATCACACGTGCCGATAGAGAAAATGGACTGATCATCGATTGGTTATTGCTTGGAGTTGTAGATATTAAATTTTACCTTATCACTATCAAACTCCATGGTCAATACCCTGCTAAACACATCTATTTTTGTTCTGACTGTTTTCAAAAAGGGTCTCCCTAAAAGAATAGGGATTGCATTTTTATCATTCTCCATTTCGAGTACGTAAATATCAGCTGAAAAGATTAAGTTATCAATCATCAGGAGTGCATCCTGTACTACCCCTTCAGGGGTAAACGTTGGATCTATCGACAAGCTGAATAACAACCTCCGTCTCATGCATGCAACGTTCCTGGTTCTAGGGGCTTATATAGGGAATAAAAAATGACATTAATTGGCGCTCCTAAATTTAACATAGCCCTACAAAACATAGTATATATCACCTAGTTTACATGGTATAGTGAATATTCCTGCGTCACTATACTTCTTAGGGAGTTTGTTTTGGAAAACAATTGATACTTGTTCACTAACTTGGATTTTATGCTTTCCATTTAATTTATGTTTCTGATCTCTTTGATTGTACAAACTTCTTTGAAAAACTTAACGAATCTAGGAACACTTTGAATTAAATTGAGAAGAGGAATATTTACCTCGAATTTGCTGAACTTCTCATAGATGTCTTTCTCCTTCTCTTGCTTGTGAGTTTCCTTGAGAGAATCCGAAAAGGGTGAAATGAGTTCATAAGAATTAAGTGGTGAAACCTCTCTTTGAAGGCCAGTTTCCTCCAATTTCTCTTCTTCTGGTGGGGAACTTGTATTCGCCTCTATGCCTCTTCCTCCTCCTCCTCCAATGTCGCTTTTTTATTTTGTCCTTAGGAATGACCAATTCTTTGCCAATCCTCAACGTGACAACATGATCTTGTTGTTTGGGGGCTTTGGGATTCAGCTCCATTTGAGATGGAAGCTTTCCCGAATCCTTGGTTTCTAGTCTACTCATCGCATTGGAGATTTAGCCCATTTGATTCTTCAAATTTTGGATGCTAGATTTTGTCTCTTGTTGAAATTGGGTCATATTTTGTTGCATTATTGTCACATTTGAGGTAATAGGACTGAATCACATCCTCCGTGGATATACATGAATTTGAGATTTAGCCTTGTGGTTTTTGAAAAGGTAGTTTTTATGGTTGAAAAGAAGAGTTCGGTTGTTGAGGTTGTTAAGGATTCACATATCTCAAATTCAGGTGATCGTTTAACCCGAATTGTATGTATTGGGATACTGGTCATACTCTTTTGTTGTCTTTGGAATCCCAAGAATCAATGAGGTGCCCTTGTGATGTGCATACGTCACATACCTTGACTTCTTTTGTTTTAGGATCTACAAGAAAGTCCTTCACCAAAAAGTCAAGTCGACAACTTGACTCGCCAAGGATGTGTTGGACTGTCGGTTGCAGCGTCTCAAATTCTCGTTCAACTCCGAGTTAGAATCCTTGCATGGGAAGGGGTTTTATTGACAATGCTTCATCCTCATGCTGCATTCACCATGTGTCAATCTTCATCGACAAGACCACCATAGAAATATACAATGAGGTCTTGCTCTGCGCAAGCGTGATAGAGACAACAACTCAGCAAGCACACAACTATTTGAATCGATTCCAGTACCGGGGTTACTGGAATTTGATAACTGCGATGACCCGTGATAGGTAATCCAAAAGTGGGGTTCAGATATATTCCTCTTTTCAAAAAAAGGATGACACCCCATCCCTGAGTCCCCCCCAACCCCGATCGGACGGTACATTGGGAGGATGTAAGTTGGACTATAATCACAATCTGACAGATAGAGAGTGAGGCTTTGTCCCCGGTACTTGCAGAAGTCTTATGCATTTTTAGCATAGTAACCTCTCATCACAATTATCAGGATTCGAACTCGAGACCTAACCCTTGTGACACTCCCTCACTACCAGTTGAGCTACGCCCACCGATTATATTCCTCTTTTCAAATTTGGTCATCTAACCCACAAGAAAAAATCCGGGTCAATCCGGTTTTCGGGTAGGGTGCAGTTTCTTTCCCCTAACCTACTTTTAATTCTACTTTTTTTTGCAAGATTTAATTCTACTTTTTAGTATACGGAAAAGTTATATTCCCCCATTTGCCAACTTTCACAGTTTCACCCCATTTTAGCCGTATTTGAACCACATTCTCTCTTTATTTTATTCACTCACTCCCTTCTTCTACTGTCACGGATCTGCAACTTGCTCTGTTTCTGTCTACCCGGAGAATGGAGCGCTTCACCTTTCTCCCTCTTTTCCTCGTTCTTTCCACTTTCATTTCCTGCCCCTCTTTTGCTGAGAATGGTGCTATTGGAGTTAACTACGGCCGGATCGCCAACAATCTGCCCTCAGCTGTCAAGGTCGTGGAGCTTCTCAAGTCTCAGGGATTAAATCGGGTCAAGATTTACGACGCCGACCCGTCCGTACTCCGGGCATTGTCCAGATCCGGCATCAAAGTCACCGTCAACCTCCCTAACGAGCAGCTTTACAATGCCGCCAAACGGGAGACGTTCGCCTACAACTGGGTCCAGCGTAATATCGCCGCCTACCACCCTGCCACCTGGTTCGAAGCCATTGCCGTCGGTAACGAGGTCTTCGTTGACCCGCAAAATACGACCCGGTTTCTCCTTCCGGCCATGAGAAACATCCATGAAGCTCTGGTCAAGTTCAATCTCCACGGAGATGTCAAGGTCTCCTCCCCCATCGCGCTCAGCGCGTTGCAGAATTCGTACCCTTCCTCCGCCGGGTCATTCCGGCCGGAATTTGTCGGACCCGTTTTGAAACCCATGTTGCAGTTCCTTCGCCAAACCGGGTCGTACTTGATGGTCAACTGTTACCCGTTCTTCGCTTACGAGTCAAACTCCGACGTCATCCCACTCGACTACGCTCTCTTCCGGGAGAATCCCGGCGTCGTGGATGCCGGAAACGGCCTCCGGTACTTCAACCTGTTCGATGCTCAGATCGACGCCGTCTTCGCCGCCATGTCGGCGTTGAAGTTCGACGACATCAAACTTGTCGTGTCGGAGACTGGGTGGCCGTCGAAGGGAGACTCCACTGAGCTCGGCGCCAGTGTGGACAACGCCGCCGCGTACAACGGAAACCTTGTCCGGAGAATCCTCACCGGCGGCGGGACCCCTCTCAGACCGAAAGAGAAGCTCACCGTTTTCCTCTTCGCCCTGTTCAATGAAAACAAGAAGTTCGGCCCCTCGTCGGAGAGGAACTTCGGGCTTTTTTACCCCGACGGGAGAAAAGTCTACAACATCCCATTCACGGCGGAAGGCCTGAAAACCTACCGGGAGGTCCGGCCGCCGGTCACCGGGAACCACTGGATTTCAAGAAGGGGGCAGGGGAACGTGTCGGGGCAGACGTGGTGCGTTGCGGACGCGGAAGCGGGGAAAGAAAGGCTACAGGCGGCTCTAGACTTCGCTTGCGGTGAGGGCGGGGCCGACTGCCGTTCGATCCAGCCGGGCTCCACGTGTTATCATCCTGACACGGTTGTGGCCCACGCCTCGTTCGCATTCAACAGTTACTATCAGAAGAAGGGGCGTGCTGGAGGCACGTGCTATTTCGGTGGGGCCGCCCACGTCGTCACGCAGCAACCTAGTAAGCACACTATTCTTCTCTCTCTCCCTTGCTTATCGTAAAAACGTCCGTTGTTTGACCAGAATTTATGGTGCGTACGTTAGCTTCCAGCATCGTGGAGCTAATATGCGCCTGATTCGATACCCATTAATTACTTGTGGTCCCACAAAGCCTGGAAAGATGTCATTCATTGGACTGCACGTGATCGATGGACTCATAGACTGTACTTGGAAAAGAAAATTTAGTTTGCATAGTTTTAATAATAATACTTCCTTCCTCCTTTCCTATTATACCTCTGAATAGGTTTTACACACAATTTAAAATAGGAAGTATTGTGTGGTGGAGAGTTGTGCAGATGAGTGAGAAATGTGTAAAAAAATGGTGTGAATCATAAATACTTTGTTAAAAAGGGAAGTAGAAGTTTTAATTGGAACGGACGAAAAATGAAAGTTGGAAGTTTATTTAGGAACGAAGGGAGTAATAAAAACGTTTTGAAAAATGGTTTAATAATAATTTTGGGGTTATTTCAAACTTGTTATTCTTCATAATTGTCATACTCACTAATTTAGAAATTACTACGTATTTTAAACTCCTCAGTAAACTATTTAATGAGTATAGAGATTTGAGTATTTTAAACTCCTCAGTAAACTATTTAATGAGTATAGAGATTTGAGTCAGGTTAAATTTTAAAGGGTTTTGCTTGGCTTACACAAAATGTGTACACCTTTTGTGTACACTCGTCTGTCCCCAGCAAACTAGCTGTTTGTCCACGGACAATTCTGTAGAGTTGTATGTGATAGACAACTGATTTGCTTGAGGACACACTAGTGTTCACAAAAGGTGTGTACACACTAGTGTTCACAAAAGGTGTACACAAATTCTGTAGTGTCTTGTCTATTTATGAGTGGCACCTTAATTTGGGAACGGATCACGAAAAGTATGTAGAATATTTTATTCCTTTATTCTTATTCCCTCTTTACTCAAAGTTAATTGACTCATCCTTCCCCTGATTCTAGGAGCCATTTGAAGTGATAATTATTTCTGCATTCTCAGCTATATACTCCAACGGCTTCTACTTTCTAAGGAGGAGACATAATTTTAATAAGAAATAGACCCAAATTAAACACCCCTTTAGCTATTGATGTGATCTTACCTATCTGACTGGGTTTAGCCTGTTAGAATGAGGAGAAACAAAGAAAAGTGTACCACAGAATTGGAACAAAAACGAGTCAAGAAATAAGTTTAGCTGTGACAGTTTTCATTAATTTCTTGTTTATAAAATGGGAAATTGAATACAGGACATAGTGGTAACATCTTTTCAAATCGAAGGGAGTATTTTTCATAAACATTTTTCATGTTTACTGTAGTTGATTCTGTCTTTGCTTGTTTTTTAAATGCAGAAGTAAAATTAGAATCATTTTTCACAAAGTGGTATCTCCCAATTTTTGAAAAACTGTTTCTAAAAGCAATTTACCTCACTCAAAAGTAGTTATGCACTTTTACCGACTACCTACGCACTTCTAGAAAAGCAGAAGTCTTTGTAAAAAGCAGATCCAAATACCCTTTTTCATGCCTTCAATTTAATGATTTATATCCTTCTACCTTTATGTGGTTGTTCCACTGGTGGACGTAACTCAATTGGTAGCAAGGGAGTGCCACAAGGGTTAGGTCCCGGGTTCGAATTCCAGCTACTGCGATGAGAGGTTACAATGCTAAAAATGCATACGGTAACGGCCTCTGCAAGTACCGGAGACAGAGCCCCACTCTCTCTGTCAAATTGGGATTATAGTCCAATTTACATGCTTCCAACGTACCGTCCGATCGGGGTTGGAGGATCCTCAGGATGGGGTGTCGTCCTTTTTTTTATATGGTTGTTCCAAACTTAACGGTTGAATTTGCCTTTATGTCATCAGAATATGGGAACTGCCAACTACCCACTGAAGTTTGAGCAGCAAGCATACTTGGACAACATAAAAAGGCCAAAACTTTGTTGATGATGAAACCAGCACAGTAGGTGTTGGTTGAATTTAGTCACTCACCCCTTTTTTAGCTATTGTGGACCGGCCTTTGATGAGTACGAGTAGTGTAACATTGTTCCAAACTTAATTAATCGTTCCAAAGTTATTGTGGGTTAGTGTAACATATGGAGTAGCAATGTTCTGCTAATAAGCAATAATTAATATTTTGTTTTTACCAAGTAGTTTATGTTGACTTGGTCTATGTTAGACCACTTGGCAGACCACTAATTCAGTATTTTGTTCACCCTCTCGGAATTTTGCTCACCTTTTCTTACTTTTTATGAGTTTAGAATGGTAAGTTGGTAACAGAACTTCTTTATATTCTTGAAATGTGAAATGTGCATCAAACAATGTACTTCCTCTTTCTATATTATCATCTTTTCATTTTGGATGGTCTCAAAATGGATTTTTTTGTTTCTTTTTGTGTAACAAATAAATGGTTCATATCATTTTATCTTATTATTGTTTTGTAACAAATAAATGGTTCATATCTTATTTTATTTGAAATTTTGAACCTCTACTTTCTCGTCGTTTTATTAATCATCACACTAAACTAAAACAAGGCACTCATTAAGGGATAAAAGCATTATTCTTGTAGAGAGGAGGGAGTAATGATCTAGAGATTGTGGTACTCATTGGTACGTGTATAAAAAAACTATCTCGGGGAGTTAGAGTATAATTGGGTCATCATAGTCAAGGGCGGAGCTAAGGGTGGTCAGGGTGGTCAACCGACCCCGCTGAAAGTTCAAGAATGTAGAGATCTGAAATACCTTCGATTTGATATATTATGTGTCCCGTGACTCATTACGAGTAAAATATTACTCCCTCCGTTCCAAAAAATACTTCCCACTTTCCTTTTTGGGCTGTTCCCAAAAATACTTCCCACTTTTCCATTTTGGACAATTTGTGTGGATCACATTCATTTTACTTTTTTCTTACACAACCACAACCATACATTTTCACTTTCTTAATAAGCGTGCCAAGTCAAACCGGGAAGAATTTTTAGGAACGTAGGTAGTGTGACTTCTGGAAAAATCAGCACCATCTTAACTTGAAATACGCAAAATTTGATGTGTGACGTTGATTATATTCTTAAATTTAAAAATAAAACAACTTATTGAATCATTAGTTGTGTGAACATTATGATACACTACCTATATATCAACATATTAACCAAAAAAATCTCATTAAACTACCGGTTATCTCATTGACATATGAAGCATTTAAGTCAAGTATTGTATAATAACTATCCATCATTTTGATACGGGATATAATTAAATTTCGACCCTCCTCACACATTTTTCGGGCTCCGCCCCTGATCAGAGTTGTGTTTTTATTATTCTTGAGAAATAAAAGATGTTAACAGTGTCCTGTTAAGATTGGTACTAAAGAAGTTGGTGTGGATATTAGGAAAATAAATTTATAAAGTAAAATAGATTTAGAGCAGCATAAATATCACTTAATTTTTTATGAAACGATCTTATTGAAATAGGAAAGAAACAATGACACAATTTGACAGGAAATTGAGTACAAAAGAATGAGAGCAGATTCTAACTTCTCGTTGAATTCCTAGAATTGAGTACTCCAAATTCCAAAATTAAAAAAGGATCTAAAATGCCTTTGCAAGAAGCTACTAGAGTAAAATTTTACTTTCAAATGGGTTACAAAATATTTTGGATAATGAAAGTTATGAAGCAAGCGAAGTTTTTAAAACTAGATGCAAGGAAGTCTCCGTTGTTTGGTACAAAATGATGTTTGTAGATACTCTTATACACCAACCATTCTTGATGTACACACCTTTGTACACATCTTATACACACCATGTTTGTGAAGCTCTTTTTTTGTCTGTGAATCCGGTTCACAGACAATATTTTGTTTGTGCAAAACATTGTCTGTGAAAGCTTTTTTTTATCTGTAAATCTGGACCGTTAGATTTACTTTTGTACACACTTATGTCCGTGAAAGCTTTTTTTTTTGTCTGTGAACATCGATTCACAGACAATGTTTTGCACAAACAAAATATTGTCTGTGAACCGAATTCACAGAAAAAAAAGCTTCACAAACATGGTGTGTATAAGGTGTGCAAGGGTGTGTACATCAAGAATGATTGTTGGTACAAATACAAGACCAAATTTAAGAGGATCAAAAGCTCCCTAGGATCCCTCAATTCTCAATTCACTACAGCTTTTTTATATTTGTACTTCTTCATTTGGAGGGACATGAAACAAATATATAATCGGTGATGTACAATTGTACATGTCGAGTTGTCCACCATTTTGATGGAGATGGGATAAATTACAGTTCCTTTTCAATACATTGAATCCTTTTTATGCAAAATATAGTGTGTTTGATATATAGGTTTTGCTTCGAATAAGAACATGATCTTAGGAGAGAAATGAGAATGAATCTGGGTCGTTAGATTCACTTTAAGTGAAATTCAATATGCATTAGATGAAACTGTAATGTGCATTAGGTGAAATTGAAATGTGCAACAAAAAACGTACGATACAATGTCATTATTTGAAGCTTAATTGTGCATTAGATGAAATTGAAATGTGTACTAGGTGAAACTAAAATGTGCAGAATAAAAGATACGATGTGATGTTATTTTTGTACATTTTATTCCACACATTTCAGTTTCACCTAATGCACAATTGAGTTTAAATTTTTATTCTGCACATTGCAGTATCATCTAATACACATTTTAGTTTCATCAAATGCACATTGCCGTTCCACATAATACAATCCAACGGTCCATATTCGTTCTTATTTCTCTCATGGGAGTCAGTTCTTATCGGAACCGCTCCTCATATATATACTCCCTCCGTTTCTGAAACAAGTTCCACATTTGACTTCACACAAGTTAAATTTATTAAGAAAATAAATTTGACTTTACTGTGGAGTGCACTGTTTGGCACTGTTTGAACACTGTTTGACACTGTTTTGATGTAGATAATTTGCCAAATAAGGAAATGTTTGAAAGTGGAACTTAATTTTGAATCTGCCCGAAAAGAAAAGGTGGAACTTGTTTCAGAAACGGAGGGAGTATATATATATATATATATATATATATATATATATATATATATATATATATATATATATATATATATATATGTATGTATGTATGTATGTATGTATGTATGTATGTATGTATGTATGTATGTATGTATGTATGTATATATATATATATATATATTGTGGTTCAAGTGAGAATGTCATCTTAGGAGAGAAATAAGAATGTATGTTAGCCATTAGATTCATCATTTTACTTAATGTTCACGTGTGAATTTTTATGGGCAAAAAAGTCATTCATCTACTCATATATTATTTGCATGCATAAAATATGTTCGCATGATTCACTTTTCTAATTTCCACCCACATTAAGTTTTAGTCCTTATATGTTATACTCTTTATTTTCAATTCAATTTTTCTTTAATGAGGTTTCCTTCCATTTAGAGCATATATGCTACTAGGTCTTCCACCTCCATGACTTTTTTCATATGATTATTAATTAATTATTACTCATTACTGTCATAACATATTAATATTGGGTGAATTCCCTAAATAGGAGTAAAAAAGTTTTGAAATTCCAAAATAGGAGTATCATGTTTTTTATTCTTTGAATATGAGTAAATTTTTACCAAGTTTGGGATTATTAGGCTTTAAAACATGACATTTTTCTAAACTTGGCAGATTACTCCTATTCAGAGAATAAAAAACATGATACTCCTATTTTGGAATATCAAAACGTTTTTGCTCCTATTTAGAACAATTTCTAATTAATACTCTGTATTTTATTATTCTAATTGTGCACCTTTGATCTATAGTAGATGCATTGAGATATAGTTTTACGGTTATTATGCACAATGCACTTGTTATATATGCATGTATATATCTTAATTTTTGCATAAGAGTGCATCTAGTGAACTATTAAGTGTTTGATGAAAGAAGAAAGGATCATACTTAATGGACTTCATAAAATGTACAAATGGATTGAAGCCGTTATAAAAATAATGATTTGAATTATGATGTATTTTTAAATTTTGAAAATGGAATACATGTGAGCAATTATTGAAACTATTGTTACACAATGTTCAAAGAAAAGTGCATCTAAAAAATATTATAAATTAACTTATATGCTATTTGGTATAATGCACTTATACTTGATTATTTAATTCTGTACATTTAATAAATTGTTAAAGCAATCGAAAACATATATATTAGTGTAGAGATTCTACACAAAATGTGCATGGTTGCAAGAGTAGGTTAAAATTTTTGTATTCTTTAATTGAGATTAAGTGAAACATTTATTATTTTAAAGGGAAAATTGATTTGCATAAAAGTGCACATTCATAATTAACTATTTTAAAATTGACGTTGAATTATGTTTCAAATAAAAGTGCATTCCTTCAATGTTGGAGTGCAAATGGCTAAATCTAGGGGATTCTATTGATGATGTATTATAAATAAAATAAAAATGCACAATTTTATTTTATTAAAAGCAAACTAATTATCCAAATTACATGTAACTAAATACAAAATTTTGAAAGAAATTTCAATCTAAGTGAATTAAAATTAGCCCTATTTTTTCACCACATTAATTTGGAAATACCTAGTGCAACTTTCACAATACCAAAGTGCAAATTAGTATGAGCAATAGTGCATCTACGTAATTAACAAACTGAATTGAATATTTTTAGTCTATTATTTATATAAAATAAAAATCTAAATAAATCAACTATTAAATGAAAACAGCAATTCGGAACTCTCGGAATGCATTGCATTTAATGATCCAATTTATATGGAAAGCATGAGTGGCGGTTCTTCAATATCCAAATTAAGTGTTAATGATTTTTACACTTTTATCCTTAGTGCTACAACTGTTACTGCTCTAATTATAATTGCCATTCAAAGGTCAAGTTAATTACAAGACTGACACACCTAATTTACATTCAATCTGTGCCTTTGATTTTATATATTTGATGGTTAGATTTCATTCTTATTTCTCTCCTGGGACTTCATTCTCACTGGAACCTTCCCCTATATATATATATATATATATATATATATATATATATATATATATATATATATATATATAGAGAGAGAGAGAGAGAGAGAGAGAGAGAGAGAGATGTTCCGGTGAGAAATGCTCTTAGGCTGAAAACCGTGAAGTTAAACTTATAGACTGAATATAGGAACTTTTAACCAATAAATTATAACTTATAGACCCCTCGAAAATAATTACGAAAATGCCTCCGCAAAAAATAACTCCAGAAACCTTGATTTTTGTTTGACGCAGTGGCATTTTCGTAATTATGATGGAGGGCTTTATAAGTTATGATTTATTGATTATAATACTAACCTACAAACTCAATAATATGCATCACTTTGAACTTCAATATGCAGTAAAAATAATGTAAAGATGCAGGGGTGAAATCACATACAAATTAGTCCTCTCATTCAAATCATC